CTTCAAGTTCATTTGGGTGACTCCGCCCAATGACACAGATCCTGTCCGAAACAGAGAACTCGGACGGGCTCCTGGCTCCTTCTCCTGGATCAACGCTGGAGGAGCTAGAGGGGGAACGTGGGGTCCCAGAAGAAAAGAGGAAAGGAAAGAGAGAGGGGAGGCGAGAGGAGGCAGGGCCAGGGGACTGGGAAGGAGAGGAAGGAGAAGCTGGAGCGGAGGGAGGATCAAAGACCTGAGGCTGATTTAAACTGATGGGGGGGGTATGCTGGGAGAGGGTTGTCTGGAGGCGGGAGAGAGGATGGTTTACAGGAAAGCAGTGCCAACACCCACATCGTTTCATATTCCCCTGTGACTCATGCTTTAATGTTGGCTTTTAGTGCAATTTAAACCTCCTCTCCAGCGAAGGACCCCCTTCTACACCCAGGCCTCCCTCCACCCTCCTCCGAGCGGAGGGGGAGACAACACCTGGACATTCTGCAAGTTTGTGTAACATTTCTTCTCTTCCAGGATGCGGCGCGGGAGGCCGCCTCTACCCCCAGCGCTGTCCTCGCGGTCTGAGGCCGACGACAGGAGTCAGGGATGCACACGGACACGCGCAAACGCAGACACAAGCTTCAGCGGCCCTTGGTCCCACCGTGACTGCTTTGCGAGGCAGCAGAAAGGTGTGCCCTGTGCCATTGCTGGCGCCTGTGCTCTGGACGTGGAAGCTACACGGACAGAACCAAGTCACGTTTGCTGGTGTCAGGACAGCCAAGGAAACGCAGAAAACGGGCAGGTTAGCCATGTTTAAGTAAAGGGTGTCCCAAAATTCACGCAAGAAGTAATTTTGATAGAAAACACAGGTTTATAATTAAAAATTGTAAATTTTTTATTGATTCATAAAGTATACAGTATAGGGTTATGTATGGAATAGGATGTCTGGTAAATGGATTATCATGTCGCCATAGCGAGCACCATTAACTGTTATTGCCTGATTTTCCATGACCGTTTTGCATAAATGTGGCTGAATTTCGTTGACACAGCGCTCAATTTCCTCCTTCAAGGCGTGGGTGGTTGTGGGCTAGTTGGCATAAACTATATGCTATTCCATACATAGCCCTATACTGTATACTTTATGAATCAATAAAAAATTTACAATTTTTAATTATAAACCTGTGTTTTCTATCAAAATTACTTCTTGCGTGAATTTTGGGACACCCTTTAATTATGAGGCGTTTTATGGCTTTAACCATCGCTAATCACAAATTTCTTTGCTATATTTAGAAAATGAATATTGAAAAATAAAAAAGCATTGGCAGAGCTTGCTGGTAGATTTCATCTTCTAGGTCAGATCTATTCATCTTGCCACTGACCTGTCCATAGACAATGTCACCACAAACATTTTGTAAGACTTTCTCGTATTTGCCAAGGAACGTGTGCTAAGCAAGGACGGCCATGACGACGACACACCATCAGCCCGATCTGCTCATTTTCACGGCGAGTCCCACCTCCCCACAGTCTTTTGTCTGGGTAGCAGGCTCGGGCTTTTTATGGTTTTTACTGCAATTATCTTAATCGAGAGCAGCGCTGTCTACTATGGTGACCATGTGGCCATTCAAATTAAAATTAATGAAAATTAGCATTTCAGTTCCTGGGTCTCCCTGGGCTCATTGCAAGTGCTTAGCGGCCGCATCTGCGGCGCAGCTCGGCGGCAGGGCCCTGGCACGGTTGAGCACTGCATTCCCTGCTGCGACCTCTGAGATTCCTCCAGGATCATCAAAGGGCACGGACAGCGGCCCTCGGTCTGCCCTACCGTTTGCAGGTGGAACAAATGGCCTTTTCCTTTTGATGTCAGTTCAGGATATGGGCTGAGAGACCTAAACGTGCATGGCCATCTGCCTGTCTCAAAGTCTCACTTCTATTTTCGGGACTCAGTATGTCCTTTACAAGACACAACCTCAGAGTCCTGTTGATGGTGGTTGGCCAGCCAATCCAGAGCCAGGAGCAGGGGGCCTGACACCTTGGGCGGGGCCTCCTCTGCCTCACGAGGGGGAGGAGCCTGAGATGCCACCAACCAGCAAGGTTCAGAGCAGAGACTCTAAGTCAGCAGTTCTCAACCTGTGGGTCGCGACCGGACGACACACCATCAGCCCTATCTGCTCATTTTCACAGCGAGCCCCACCTCCCCACAGTCTTCTGTCTGGGTAGCAGGCTTGGGCTTTTTATGGTTTTTACTGCAATTATCTTAATTGAGCAGCGCTGTCTACTATGGTGACCATGCGGCCATTCAAATTAAAATTAATGAAAATTAGCATTTCAGTTCCTGGGTTTCCCTGGGCTCATTGCAAGTGCTTAGCGGCCACATCTGTGGCGCAGCTCGGCAGCGGGGCCCTGGCCCGGCTGAGCGCTGCATTCGCTGCTGCGACCTCCGAGATTCCTCCAGGATCATCAAAGGGCAGGGACAGCGGCCCTATGTCCGCCCTGTCATTTGGCAGGTGGGACAAATGGCCGTTTCCATAGGCACCGAACTGTGACACCAGTTCAGGATGTGGACTGAGAGACCTAAACATGCATGGCCATCTACCTGTCTCAAAGTCTCCCTTCTATTTTCGGGGCTCAGTATGTCCTTTACAAGACACAACCTTGGAGTCCTGTTGATGGTGGTCGGCCAGCCAATCCAGAGCCAGGAGCAGGGGGCCTGACACCTTGGGCGGGGCCTCCTCAGCCTCATGAGGGGGAGGAGCCTGAGATGCCACCAGCCTGCAAGGTTCAGAGCAGAGACTCTAAGTCAGCGGTTCTCAACCTGTGGGTCGCGACCCCTTTGGCAGTCGAACGACCCTTTCACAGGGGTCGCCTAAAACCATCCTGCATATCAGATATTTACATGACGATTCATAACAGTAGCAACATTACAGTTATGAAGTAGCAACGAAAATAATTTTATGGTTGGGTCACAACATGAGGAACTGTATTAAAGGGCCAGAAGGTTGAGAACCACTGTTCTATATGCAAGACCCCTTCCTTGAAATGCACCCCAAAGAAGAGTCGCGGGCTCCTAGCAGGTACCGAGGGCCCCCACAGTGCACGTGCCAAGGAAGAGAGAGGAATATCAAGCCTGTGCTTCATCACCTCAGCGTCTCATTTCCAGGATTAAAATAGCACAACTGAAAAGTGTTCAGCACAACTTTAGAAGAGCGAGGTCTACGGGTCCCGGGATAAGACGTTTCTTTACAGGCACGCCATTCTCCTACCCGTGGCAGCAAATGCATTGCCTCCTCCTTCTCTGATGCTTCAGATCGCTGCATCAGTACCGCAGTCAATGGTTGCTTAAAAGAATTAATGACACTGGAAAAAGGAGAGCAGGTTACGTCCCTCCGGACTGTTGGATTAGCAGAGATACAGCAAAATGATTCCTTACATGTTATTGTCAAGATGAATTTTTTTCTAGTCTCATGACATTTCTAACAGTTACCCACAGGATTATTTGCGGTCAAAACACCTATACATTCTTTTTATTGATGTGATTTTTATGTCCTTTAATTACTTAAAAGACCAAAACCATTCACTTTTTTATAAAGAAATGTGGCATACTCGTTCTCATATTTAGGAACCTCCACTGTGTTATCTTGTGTAAAACAGTAAGTAGACAAACAAACATAATCAAATATAAACAAACCCCAAACCACGGTCAAGTGTTGGGAATATGTACTTACTAGTATGCTACAACTAAAATATGCACATTTTCACATAACTAATTTTGCATGTTAATAGAGATGATTAAAAACATGGTAATAATGTCCTTCATCATCCTAAAAAATGTGTGACAAAATTCAACAAGGACCCCTTCAGATTTCTCATGCCAAATAATTTGTAACAATTCTAAGTTCAATAACTGATTATCAGATGTCTGCTCAAGGTTTAGAAATGTTTGATAATTATATGAAAACACATACAGACATACTAGAAATAAGGCAAACAATCCGTTTTGTTTTTTCCATTAAAAAAGGAAGAAGTTAATACCAATGAGCCTTTCTAAGATAATTTGATGAATTCCTCAACTCGATCGTTTTACCTATTAGCATAAATGCATTTGCTACTAATTACAAACAATTCCTACGTTCGCCTTCAGACACTACCGTGGGCTTTTCAGTTAGATGGGTCAGTCGCCTACTTTACATGACATTTGGCAAAACCCTTTTATGTTCCTTACCCCGATGTCACACACACACACACACACACACACACACACACACACACACACACCACACACACACACACACGTTACCAGGCTTTTCTGTTTCCAGCCGAGAAGCCCTTCTGGCTGCTAAATCCCACCCAAAGCAAAGCCGTGGGTAACAAAAATAATCAACTAGAGGACGCCGGTGAGAGATGGCCATTCCTGTTCAAATTAAATGGAACAGCCTCCCCGGTTAAGAGATGGACGAGTTTTTACCAATAACCTCAGTGAGCCTTTGCGAGAGACGCGGCCGAATTAGACGGAGCCATTAGGCAATACATCTATTCTGCAGCCAATTAACCTTTTGTCAAAAAAGTGTCGGTGCTGCAAAGGTTCCTGCGGCGGAGGTCACCCTCACCGGGCACGCCTGTCAGCCACGCAGGCGACACGTCTGCAGGCGGGAGGGGCAGGGCTGGGCTTGCTCCCGTGACCTGTCCCCTTAGGGAATGAGAGCTTCCATTGGCAAGTGCCCCGGGGGACAGGACGTGTCTGGGGAGATAAATGGTTGTTGCTCTCCGAGCCCCGCCACCAGCTCCATCATTGATGGCGGCCTGGGACCGGCCGGCTGCCCGGTCTCAGAAAAGTGGAGAGGCCCCGGCACCAGGCAGTTCCGGGAGGCACCGCCCTCTGCCATGTGCTCCTCGGC